TCTCATTCTCTCTGTCTCAAATAAATAAAAATCTTTAAAAAAAAAGAAATTACAAAAAAAAAAAATAACAAACCAACCCTATTACGGCTTCCTTCATGTCACGCATTCCACTAACTCATTTTCTCTTCACGCCAAGGCTGGGAAGGGGGCGTGCTCCCATTTCTCAGACGAGGAGTCGAGGAGGTGGGTGGGCCAAGGTGACGCAGCGCTTACACAGCAGCCCGGGTCTGTCCCCAAGCGCCCTGGTCGCAGGCCATTGCCTTGCCGTGTGTGCAGGGCAAGGGCCAGTGGGGCGGCCCCAGGCTCTCAGCACCCACGCTCCCCTTACCGGCACCGAGCTGGGCAGCGACTCCTCGTGGCCCCCCTCCTGCTCCAGACCCTGGGGGGCTGAAGACGGCGGCTGCTCGGCCCGGAGCCCCTGGTTTTCCTCAGTCAGCCGCTTCACCTCATGGCTCAGGCCCTTGTGTGACGTGGCCAGCTCCGCCTGGGGACGGACGGTTAGTAGGAGGGGATGAGAGGGGACAGGGTGTCGCCAGTGGCCTGTGAGGCCAAAGCCTGAACCCTCCTCCCAACACCGCTGACGGCCAGAAAGCCCACGCCCTCCTCTGCTGAGAAAGGAAGAAGCACCCTTTTTTGAGTGCCTTTGACCACCAAGCTTTTTTTTTTTTTTTTTTAAGTACGCTCTACGCCCAACGTGGGGCTCAAACTCACGACACCGAGATCAAGAGTCGCATGCTCCACCAACTAGCCAGTCAGGCACCCCTGACCCCCAAGCTCTTCATACACTCTTCTCAATGGCTCGGAGGTCACGAGGGGCAGGCCACCTCGAATGTTTTATTGGGTCCATACAGGTTTTTTTTAACAGCTGCAATTAGTTACCAACTTTCAAAACAGGGCAGAGGCGCCTGGGTGGCTCAGTCGGTTAAGCATCTGCCTTCGGCTCAGGTCATGATCCTGGAGTCCCGGGATCGAGTCCCGCATCGGGCTCCCTGCTCAGTGGGGAGTCTGCTTCTCCCTCTGACCCTCCCCCCTCTCATGCTCTCTCTCTCCTCTCATTTTGCTCTCTCAAATAAATAAAAATCTTAAAAAAATAAATAAAAATAAAAACAGGGCGACATACAGAAGTACCCGGGTTTCTGGCTTCTCTGGACAAATCAGAAAATGCGGCAGCATCGAGCTCACATTCCCACGCGGCTCCCGTCACAGAGCCGAGGGGGCCTCCCGTCTTGCCACACTGCTCTTTGCCGTCTACACCTGGCCCGACTGAATCATTTACACTTCCCGTCCAGGCTTGGAGAGCATCCGATTTTGCAAGCCTCGCTTTTAAGCCTCACTCACGACTCTGCAAGCTAGGTCCCACCATCTGGATTTCAAGGAGGCAAGGCAGGGGCTCCGAGCTGATGCACGGTGGGAACACAGAACCCCTGCTCCAACTGCAGCGCCCGGGACCCTAGAAACCTTCTATGCACCCCACGCCGACTCCAGGGTGCAGCCGGAGTGGCTGGGGGTGCAGGGTGGGGTGGGGTGGGGGTTGGGCAGGACAGGTGCCTTGACCTTTCCGCGTGCCCCTCTCAGCCAGTTCCCGTCACACTCCTGTCCCTCGTGCCCCGGCCCCCAGCCCTCACCATCTGCAGCTGAACCCGCTCCTGGGCCTGGCTCACGGTCCCCTGCAGGGTCCGCAGCAGCTGCTCTGAGTTCTGGACCTGGGCCAGGAGCACTTGCATCTGTGCGTGGAAGGAGGTGACGGTGAGGTCGGGGCCAGGAGGCAGGCAGCCAGGGGCCCTGCCAGGGCGGTGGCGACACAGCGGGGCCCCACCTGCTTGGCACAGTCCTCGTTGCTCCGTCTCAGACCCTCCTGCAGCTCGTCCCGCTCCCGGCTGACGTTCTCCAGGTCCTTCTGCAGCTGCCGCCCCTACCACAGACGCCGGCCTCAGTCTCGGCCTCCGAGTGGAGGCCTGCCTCCTGCACCTCGGCGGGGGGCGGGGGGCGGGGTGGGAGGGCGGCTCCCAACCGGCCGCCCTGCTTCTGTCGCCTGAACCCGGCTCTAGCTCTGTGTGTGTGCACAGCAGGTGCTCAGTGAGCACTGGGGGGGGGGAGTGCCCGCGCCCTGGCAGGCTGCTCCGCCCCCTCCGCTCACCTCCGCTTGCAGCTGCTCCCACTGGGTGTCCGGGACGAGCTGGTAGCCGGGAGGGGGCAGGTAGATGCCCTCGGGGACCAGAGTGCCCGTGGACACCAGAGAGGCCGTCTCTTCCTGCTCGGGGCTCAGGCCCTGGCGGCTGCGGGGCAGGGTGACGCTGCCAGCCCCACCGCCGAGGGAGAAGGAGGAGATGGAGGCACCGTCGTCACAGTTGTGGGCGAAGGCTTCGGCCGCCGCGCCTCCGTCTCCGCTCGGCTCCTCCGGGGGCTCCAGCGGCGGCCACGGGTCCCGGGACAGGGGCAGCAACTCCGTAGAGCCGTGCAAGGAAGGGGGGTGCCGGGGCCGTCTCTAGGGGAACGGGCAGGGAAGAGGCTGGGGGGCCAGGGTCCTGCGGCGCCCCCTCTTCGCGCAGCACCCCCCGGCCGCCCCCTCACCTGGATCTCTTGAATCAGCTCCTCTGCTCTGAGCAGTTTTGCCTTCAGCTCCTCAATCTCCTGCTCCATGGGCAGCACGATCTCCCGAAGCTTCTCCGAGTCCTCATGGGCCTGGAGGGAGGGGGTTAGGCAGCCGCAGGCGCCCCCCCCCACGACAGCTGGACCCCTCAGGTCTGTTCTGAGCCTCCCCTCTAAGCACGCCGGCCCTTCCAGTCCTCCCAAGAAGTGCTGTCCATCCCCGTTTTCAAGATAAGAACACAGAGGCTCTGAGCGCTTATACAACTTGCCCAGGTCCCCCAGCACGCAAAGGGGCTGAAGTCACGACCTGCCTGGTGCCCACACTTGCTCCTCACCCTTTCCTTCCCCAACATCCAGTTTTACTTCTTTTATCACAGATGCTCACATGCCCTAAATTCTACAACACCATCTACATTTCTCAGCTTCCCTGTAACTAAGCACGGCCACATGACTAAGTCCCAGCTAATAAGATGTTAACGCAAACTTCCAGGGCAACTCCTTAAGAGAGAGGGTGTGCTTTTCCTTACTCCTCTTCCTCTTTGATGGTTAGACTGTGGATATGATGGCTGGGACTGTGGCAGTCATCCTGGGCCGTGCGGCAATAAGCTGCCTATGGAAAAACAGTGCCATAAGAGGAACCCGGGTTCCTGATGACTTGCTGAGCTGACATCAGTCCCGGAATGTCTATCTGTGTGGACTTTGAGAAAAATAAACTTCTATCTTATTTAAGCTACTGTTGGTGCCGGTTTTTAAACCTCATTCTAACTGATATGTCCTTTACCCCCATCTGCCCCACATTGCTGGCCATTTCTTTTTGGTCTGTTTTCAGGTCTGAGATCCTGCTGAACCCGCACAGTCAATGGCCTCTGGCCATCTCCACCTGGGGGTCACACTGACTCCTCTATCCCAGGGACGGCCAAATACGAACCACTCACAAGACCGTTTCTCCTCCTATGGGCGTTAGGTCACCCACCCAGCTGTCCAAGGCCGCAATCTGCCAGTCACCCAAACTCTTCCAATCCATGCCATTTCTACCTCTTAAATCACTCAGAAACCTGTCTGAAGCAAGCTCAGTTTAACCCTCCAAATCCCTATGTGAACAGTTGCAATAGGCAGGGTGAGTCTGCATGGCCCAAACAAAAGAAACAAAACACCCCTGGTCCCATCTGAAGCCCTGAAAGACACATGCTGTGGATGCCCATGCCCTGGGTGGCCGATAGCCGAACGCAGGAGGTGGGCCAGGACTGAACTGCCTGACTCTAGGCTTGCCGTCCTTCTGCTCGCTGCACCGGGCTTCTGCTCGGCAGGGCCCTCTCCCTCACCCCCTCCCAC